CCCATCGAGGCCCTGCTCCACTCAATGTCCAGGCCCATCGAGGCCCTGCTCCACTCAATGTCCAGACCAACAGAGGCCCTGCTCCACCCACAACCAAACTGCCGGGGAAGTTTGAAACAGAGCCCGACCCTCCCAACCGGGGCCTCAGACTTGGGTAGCATGCTCAGCTGAGAGGAACACATCCTCTTCCTTGAGACTCCATCTGCCTCCAGGCAGAGCAGAGACAAGAGGAGGGTAGATTAGTCCTGTCAGTTCACAAGGAAGAAAGGGAACCAAAGTCTAACACACCTAGGGACACCTGACCTCACATCCTGGCTTGGCTGCTTAGCCAAGTCCTGCAGCTCCAGGACTGTGCTCTTTAAGCAGCAGCATCAGTGGTGCCCTGACACTGAACAGTGGCCGGCAGGTGCGTGGCTATGTGTATGGGCAAGCCAGTCAATCTCTCTATGCTGCACTTTCTCACCTATGGAAGGGCACATCCCTCTGACCCCATAGGATCCACATAAGAACTCAAGGCCAGTTCCTTCAACAGCGCATACTTGACGTTAACGGCACGCACCAAATTCAGAGATCAGCAGAAGACAAAGCTCTAGCCTCCCAGCCACAAATGCTCTTTGCAGCCTGAAAAAGCAGCTGGCAGAACCCCACCTCCACCCACGGGAGGCCCTGTGGATTCTTTCCTTGCTGGTGACGTAGAGGGTCCTCTCCTACCATCCTTGACACAGATGGTGACGGTGTGGGGAGGTCATCAGCCCTCACTTCCAAATGGTCCGTTGAAGGTTGTGAAGCCCTTTCAGCCTCATGGCCTTATAGAGGCTGTGGGTTCAGTTACTGACTGCAGAGATCACAGATACTTAGGGAAGAAAAAGGGTGTCCTCAAATCAGTCACATCAAACACCAGTATGTGGTGTGGCCTGGCACTGCTACTGCACTGGGGTCTGCAGACTGGCTGGGCAGCCTCACTAGGGGGATGCCCGGGGTTGGAAGGCCCCACTGATTACCAGCATCTGTCCTGGGAATGGACAGGGGGTGGGGCACAGTGCAGGCATGTGTCTGCCATCCTGGCTGGCCACCGTCGAGCCACTACCTTTAACCTGCCCTGGATGCTCTGAACCACGGGGTGCAAGTCAGACTCGTGGTGACTTTTCAGAGGTCCTAAGTCCTTTTCCCCTTTTGCAGCTGAGGCACCCAACTGACCCCTCCTCAATGAGCAATGCCCCTTGTCCAGTCCAGATGCTGGCAAGGTGCAGATAAAGGACTCTGCCCTTGTGAAATGCCCTGCCTTTACCCAGGGGTGTCCAACCTGCAGCCTCTGCGCTGCATGCAGATTCCTTAAGGACCGTTTTGATTACCTGTGGTGTCAAATACGGAGAAAAGTATGCGTGGGCCTTCTCTTTTGCTAATCAGCTTTCCTTAGTGATTAGACAACTCCTATTCTTTGTGCAGGAGAAAAGTAAAAGGGGTGGACACCCACAACACATCCTGCTTGGTCACCCTGAGACCCTGGCAGTGGGTCAGCACAGGAGGAGGCCCATGGGACAAATAGGACAATGAGGGCCTGGCTGCCAATTTCCAGGCAACATCTCATTTTCTGCAGTTCCCTAAGGCTGCAGACTAATGAACTGAACAGGCAGAGGCTTTTCTCTCCAGGTATCCTCCTAAGTGGCAGCTGGACATATAGGGAGCAGACTACAAACCGTGTGAAAGGTGCCTATGTTGTTCCCCAGGTCAGGGTGCCTGTAAAAGAACAGCTGACAGAAGGGAGAAAGAGGAGAGAGAGAGAGGAGGAGAAAGAGGAGGTTCTCAGAGGTAATTACAGTCAGGTTCACATCCTGCATGTGCCTTCCCTGGCCAGATCGCTGTTGTCCTTGCATGAGATCAAAGAGGTTTGGTTTTTTATTTTTTTTTTTGAGACAGAGTCCTATTCTGTTGCCCAGGCTAGACTGCTGTGGCATCATAATGGCTCGCAGCAACCTCTCACTGCTGGGTTCAAGTGATCCTCCTGCTTCAGCCTCCTGAGTAGCTGGGATTACAGATGCCCGCCACACCCGGCTAAATTTTTCTATTTTTAGTAGAGATGGGGTCTCCCTATTGCTCAGGCTGGTCTCGAACTCTTGGCCTAAAGTGATCCTCCCACCTGACCTACAGTTAACTTATTTTTTTTTTTTTTTTTTTGAGACAGAGCCTCAAGCTGTTTTCCTGGGTAGAGTGCTGTGGCATCATAGCTCACAGCAACCTCCAACTCTTGGGCTCAAGCGATTCTCCTGTCTCCACCTCCCAGGTAGCTGGGACTACAGGTGCCCGCCACAACGCCTGGCTATTTTCTGGTTTCAGCTATCATTGTTGTTCAGTGGGCCTAGACTGGATTCGAACCCGCCAGCTCAGGTGTACTGTGGCTGGCGCCCTAGCCGCTTGAGCCACAGGCGCTGAGCTAACTTATTTTTAATGAAAGGGCACTTAGCAAGAAGAAGGGTTCCAGGAGGATAAAATGCTGTCTTCTTTTTTACCTGTCCCCTGGGCTGGAGATGCCGAGTGGGCCAGAGTATGGGGGAAGTGAGGGGAGCCTTGGACATAACCCATTGAGACAGAAAAGCAGAGTCAGCTCAGCAAGGCACAGTTATGGACACTGCCCGAGGATGTGGGGCCTGTGGGGGTCACCCTGCAGCTTTACCCCAGCATCGAACACACAGGACTGGCTGGAACCCTGCCAGGGTGACCCATTCCCAAAGCAGCTCATTTCCTGGTCAGGCTGACCCGTACTGAGGACGGGTGGGGTGGGGGGTGCCGGGTCTCAGCCTAGGGTGTGCTATGAGGCCCCTGCTACTCACCTCTCCCTTCTTTACCGTCATGGATTGCCGGCGAGGCGTGATCTCCTCGTTGATGCTGGAGAGGAAGTTCTGTGAGATCCGGAGGGCATCCTGCAGCAGGGGGTGGTCAGGGTGGCTGGAGGGAGTGTGCTTCAGTAAGTCCTGCACCGGGGGAGACTCCAGTTAGGCAGAGTGCAGTGCTGGCACCCACCAGCCACGGCATGCTGAGCACAGACACTTGGGGCAAAACCAGAGTCCCTAAGTGCCACCCCACCTCTCTTGCTTGGGCCTGGGTTTTGCAGACAATGCTTGTACAAGCATTAGCCGGAAGCAGGTGCCAAGTGGGCACTCCAACAAACCCATGATGGGTGCCCTCTGCCAAGTGGGGCTCCAGCTGTCAAGGCCTAGGGCAGGGCTTCTTGACCTTGGTATTGCTGGCATTTTAGGGCAGATGGCTCTGTTGGGGCAGGGTTAGTCATCCTGTGCACTCTAAAATACTCAGCATCTTCTGTGGCCTCCACATTAGATGCCAGTAGCACCCCTTTGCCTGCAGCTGTGATAGCCAAACACATCTGTGGATACTGCCTTGAGTCTCCTACTAGGGGCACAACTGCCCTGGTCTAGAACCACTGGTCTGTACAGGGACAGGAGAAAGCCCTCGGCTTTCCTGGCTCTTCTTCCTTCAGATAAACACGTAAGCAATTCTGAATCCACAGGCACGCTGACTCTTCCCCTACCAGGAATGAAGTTCCTAGGTTCAGAGAAAGAAAATCCTCCCAGATCCCAAACCCCATCTGCAAAGAGAACCTGGAGAGATGAAATAAGCTTAGAGGAAGGCACTTGGGCTAGCAGTGTCGGGCCGGCCCCCACCCCCACTGCTTGGGGCAACTCCAAGCACCCTGGTTGTGATGAACCCCCAACCCCTGGACTAATCATAGCGGGCAGTGACTGCAGCGCCCCTAGAGTCTGATGGGCCACCAAGAGGGAGCCTTCCATACCACAATCTCAGCCAGGCATGGTGGCTCAGGCCTGTAATGCCAGCACACTGGGAGGCCGAGGTAGGTGGATTGCTTGACCTCAGGAGTACAAGATCAGCCTGGGCAAGAGTGAGACCTCATCTCTGCTAAAAACAGAAAAACTAGCCGGTTGTTGTGGTGGGCGCCTGTAATCCCAGCTACTAGGAAGGCTGAGGCAAGAAAATTGCTTGAGCCCAAGAGTTTAAGCTTATTGTGAGCTGTGTACCACGGCACTCTACCCAGGGGGACAGAGATTCTGCCTCAAAAACAAAACAAAAACCCCACCACAGATCTCACTGGGATGCCACACGGCACTGTGACTCACATGAAGGACAAGTGTGCTCCTTGTCACCCGGTCCACAGGCTTGTAGAGCAAAGCTGCGGAGAGAAAGCCCTGTGAGTGACAAGGCACACATAGGGAAAGGAGACCACCCACCTGCTGGCCCTCAGCCCAAGTGTGAGGGGAGACAGAGCCACCCCAACTTCTACAGGCCCCGGCTCCCCACTGTGCAGGGACAGGGCGGACCCAGAGCACCTCCCCAGAAAGCTTCGGACCTGGAGGTGGGACATCACATGCGGAGTCCAGAGCTGCTCGGCAGACCCGAGCCTACAGGGCTGACCTGCTCCCCAGTACAGATGCACGCTGAGGTCAGAGGACCCTGTGGTGCTCAGTGCTGACCTGGGGACTTCTGGAGGTTGATTCTGAGAGGGCTGTGAATGGATTCAGATGTGGACACAGCTCTTGGCTTGACAGGTGCTCTGAGAACCTGCTTGAGGACACCGGGCTCCAGTGGCACAGGGGTCCTGCTGCCACTGTGCCTGGCCTGCTGTTCTCTCTGAGCATAACTACTAATGCCACTTTGACAACTCACAGAGGAAGTGACTTAAAATTCCTAATACCACTTTCCCAGCAACTCTGGATTCATGCCTTGTCCTGCCACTCAAAACCTGCATTCTACACAGGTCCTTCCCTGCCCCACCCTGCCCCGAGCTGCTCTTTCCTCGCCCCTCCCTTGAAGTTTGAAGTCTGAAACAGGGAAGGCACCAGGGGTGACCCAGCTGGGCACTGCGTCTGCTTTCCTAGCAATGCCCCTTCTGCTGGCACGACTGAGTCTGGGCATGGAGAACTCACTTTCCAAAGAGTTCTTGGTCGTCACTGGATCCTTGGCATCCTTGTTGCTCCTGGCTCTTAGGTTCTGTGGAGAGAAAAGCATGTGTTTGCATGGATGACAGAGCAGCTTTGATATGGCAAAGTTCTGTGGTCAAGGACTTTCAGCAGAAATCTCAGCCTTCTCTCACCACAAAGAGTCCGGATGTGTTCTGAGTCAGTGGATGAAATCACAGGGTAAGCAGAGCCCACAGGCTGTGGGCCACTCAGGACAGAGCTTCTCAGCTGTAGAAATTCTCTGTTCAGGGCAGCTGTCCTGGTGCACTGTCAGAGGCCGGGCAGCACCCGTGGCCTCCACTTATGGGTGCAGGAACACCCCTTTTCTGCAGTTGTGACAATCCTAACTCCAGGCAATGGTAAGTGTCCCCTGTGGGACAAAACAGCCCCTAGCTGAGGGTCTCTCAGAGGATCCTGCTAGCAGGAGGAACAGTTGGGTACCTCAATGCACAGCACTATTTTCCTGGAGTGGTGAGTCAGTGTGTTGGGTACTGGTGGTTCCTAAGAACACTCATCTTTGGAGAGTCCACCCCCACCCACCCTCTTCCCATTTGCAAACGTACATGCTAATGAAAAAATGAGGCACTAAGATCCCCAGGGGGAGAGCAGGGCTTTTCAGTGGATAGGCCATGTTTGAACACAACTGCAATGTAGAAGGCATCACTCATCGGGCCCAAGGTGCAAATAGAAATGAGAAGACACCTGTGTGCCTGAAATCCTCCCTGGGAAGGAGCTGCAGTCGACCCCTGCACTAGGCTTCAGAATAAAAGCACACACCGCTCAGAGACGGAAGGGGCTCCGAGATGGCTCTGCCAACCTCTTTGCCATGGGAAACCTCTCACGACCAAAGACGATGCTTTCTAGTTCACTGGGGCCAAACTCTGCTGGTCACTTTGGCACCTTTCCTAGACGCATCCCTGCAGTGACTGTTATTCCATACATCTGACTCAGGGGTTCTCACAGGGCGTGAAGGGGTGGGAGAGCCACACAGAACACTGCAACACCAAGTGCTCACGCGCCCAGGAGGTGCTTCCACACACAGGCCCCTGGATGGGCAATACCAGGCAGCACAAGGCACATGGTGGTATGTGGGAGTTCCTGCCTCTAGAAAAGTTGTGAGCGTGGTTTAAGCCCACATTTCCCAAACTAGAATGACTCTGGAAGCCCTTTTCATCTGATTCCTATCATCTACTGTCTGGGGAGCTGGTGTTCCATGGAACCCAGCTTGGGCAACTATGATCAAACCTATCTCCCGAGGATCATTTCTCCAGCCTCCCTGTCCTCGAGGGAGAGCTCAAGCCCCCTTGCCCGAGCACCGGCCCCCACACCTCCACACGCCTGCTGAGTCTTCCCCCTTCAGCTTGATTTGTTCTCCTCTGGCAGCTCCAATTTCCCTGGGTCTTTTTTTTGAAACACAGATGAGGAACCAAAGTGGATGTTGCCCTAACAGTAAAAGTGCCACAGAGCTTCTGAGATAGCCAGCTTCCGGCTGAGCTGCCACCCACATCCTACCATGGGCTCAATTTCTGACCTGTGCATGGCTGGAGGGACCACATAACCCCCCCCACCCCCCATCCCAGGTGGCACGCACCACTGTCTCCTCTCTCCTCTGCAAATACACATCTGGGTGAACTTGAACATGGCCACTTAACTGTAACCTGCTCTTAACGGATTAGGTCACTAATTTGTCAATATCACTTGGAATTCTCTGCCACCATTCCAGGGGTTAGGAGGATGGGAAGTTGCTAATTAAAAAAAAAAGAAAAAGAAGAGAAAGAACTGGGGGGTAGAGCAGGTTGGGGGGGAGCCTGCAGCCTTAGGCACCTGCAGATCCTGCTACCAGCAGCACCTGATGTGGAGTGGGGCCCCCACAGGCTCTGCAGGTAATATGTGATACCACAGTGGCACCCCGCCCACTCCACTGCAGTAAATGGTAAAATGACACAAAGCCTCAGAACAAAGCCAGGTGTGACAGCCACAAACTGTGGACCAGATGGAGAGGCCAGACTCACTCCGTATTTCTAGCTCCTATTTGTTTTTTTGAGACAGGGTCTCACTGTCATCTGGGCTACAGTGCAAGTGGCATCATCATAGCTCACTGCACCTTCCAACTCCTGGGCTCAAGTGAGCCTCCTGCCTCAGCCTCCTGAGTAGTTGGGACTGCATGAGTAGTCTGCCACATTCGGCTAGTTTTTGTATTTTTTGTAGAGATGGGGGTCTCACTATTTCCTGGGCTGGTCTAGAATGCCTGGCCCAAGTGACCCTCCCACCTGGGTCTCTCAAAGTGCCAGGGTTATAGGCATGAGCTGCCACGCCTGCCCGTTTCTTAACACTGTGTTTCTCACGCAGAGGAGTGTCCACCGGAGTCCCTGCTGGCTCGGGGAAAGGCAAGTCAGAAACAAGCCCCCAAAGAGGAAAATGCCAAAACTGACACGGAGGGAAAGGCTGGGAAGAAGGCTGTCTAGATACAGACCCCAGGGCCCTGCTGGGTTCCGGTCTCGGCTTGGCCCCCACCCCGTGGACAGCCCACTCTGTATCTGAGGGGCTCTTTTGCGTCCCCGGTGCTAAAACGCCACAGTTTGAGGTGTCAGCCTCATAGGGCTAAATGCAGGAAAGGAGATGGTGGCCCCTGAGACACAGGCCTAGGCTAGTGTAGCTCTGATCTGGGGCTCTGCAGAGCACAGGTGACACAGCCTTTGTTCCCTGGTGCTGGTTCCTCCTGCTCCCAGTTTTCAAGGTTGCGGGCAGGCTAGACTAGGAGAGGGGCAGGACACGCCCTGCCTGGTCTCCAGTGACAGGTGTAAAGTCAGCCCCAGGACTCTCATGGTGACATCTGCTAATGGCAGAACTACGGACATGCTTCCCTGCAGACAGTGCAAGAGTGCCTGAGGAACACAGCCAACCCCTAGAATCAGGCCCTGGCCCTGGGAGGCAGGAGGGTCTGCATATGCCCCTCTGTCTGGGCACAACAGTGCCTGGCACAGGGCTGATCGGAGTAAACCCAGTGCAACCTGGAAACAGCCTGGGTCACAACTAGCCCTGGATTTGGTGCCCTTAGTTCTCTGAGGTCAGGTTCTACCAAACACCAGCCTGCAGCCCGTGGTAGGAGGTGGAGGGTGTGGTGAGAGTTGGAGGTGCACCTGCCCAAACAGCCTCACAGAATTACCTCGGAGATTTCTGCAAACTGAGCGTTGGCCTGACAGCACTTCTCAGCTGTTTCCATGGCAACTCCATAGTTGTCCACAAAGGCCCGGTACACACCCAACTGGCTGGCCTGCAGGGAGGAAGGAAGAAAGTGTTGGACAGGTGCAGGACAGGTACGGGACAGGGGCTGCACCCCATCTTTCTGAGGAACAGGCTCCAGGCACTGCATATGGTGCACAGGCTGCAGAGACCTCAGCTCTTCTGCACTGCTCCCTCCCACCTGATCCCCTCCCCCCAGCACCCTTCCCTCTCCCAGAATGGCATGCTGAGCAGTGACTCACAGCCTGGGCAGGTGTGGGCTCCCTGCCACAGCTGCTTACTCCTCCTACCCCACCCACTTAAACGGGGACACCAGCAGCAGGTAAAGTTCAAAGCTGTTAGTGAATCTGGACAAGGGTCTTTACGTAGGTGAGACTGAACAACACCTCGTCACTCTGGCTGCAGGAAACCACCCTGAACTTGGAGGTCAGTGCCCCCAGCCTACGTAGATACAGTGCTCTGCTCACATCCATCCCTTAGGCAAGGAATACACAGTCCAGCTGTCCTGGCAGAAAAGGGCCTCCCACTGCCCAGGCATAAGCCTGTCCTAGACCTGGTGGGAATGTCCACGGGTCATGCTACACACCCGGCAGGTGGAAGACCTGTCAGATGTAAGGTGAGAGGCATTTAGTTTGTCCTTTACACACCAAAGGTATCTAAGGAGTGTCTCTTCACCCGCTCATCTGAGCAGTAGCTTCTGGGCCCCCCATCACCTTTAGAATCGGGGGGGGGGGATTCAGTTCTTCACTGGGACCAGGGACCACCAAACCTAGACCTGGGGAGGGGAGGAGCAGATCCAGAGACTCGCTGGCCAGGACAGGAAACCCCCACTGCAGCCAGTGGGGAGCTGGAAGCCTGAGGCATTCACTGCTCCTGATGTTTGTTCTATGTCAAACCTAAATTTTATTTCCACATGCATTTGCATTTATATTGAATTTTACGTTTCCAGAGACACTGGGTGAACCAGGCATGTGGCATTGTCTGGTCTTTGTGCTCACACCCCCCTGAAGCTGCACAAAGGGCCTCAGGGGTACGAGGAAAGGGCCCTGCCTCACTGACCATGCTGGATGAGAGCCTGCAGACTTGATAACCCCCAGAGCTCTTCTTCTTCCCCGCCTCCTGCCTTCCCTAGTCACTGAGTACAGCCCTGCTTCAGGCCTTGTCACCACAGCTGTGAATAATGCAGACACTGTGTGGCTCTGTGCAGCCAGTGTTCCAACAGGAGAGAACCTGATAAATCAGTGAGCACACAACATGGGCAATGTAACCACAGATGGCTACAAGCAGGGAAGGTCGCAGGGTGCCAGGTGACAGGATGCCTTAGAGATCACAGTCAGGACAAGAGAGGGGAGGACCCTTTCATGACTTCCTCCTCTGCCTTGTCCCAGGAATGCAATCTTCCAGGTACTCTGTGAGAAGTTCTGGCTGATCAAAATCAGAGCTGCATGGATTACAGCACAAACGGAGACCACTTGCCCCTGCTCTGTTGTGCAGAGAGGGGCGTGGCCGTGTTGCTGCGGTCCTGTTTTCCACCAGAAACGCAGGGTCAGGGAAAACACATCCTGATAAAATAAGCCTGATCTGGCCTCTGTCTTTCAATAAACGTCCAGGTCACTGAAGGTAACCAAAGTCAAAGGGACTGCTGCAGAGTGAAGGTGATGAGAGAGACGTGATGACCAGGTCTCTAACATGATCCCGGACCAGATCCTGCATCAGAGAACACCAACAGCTACAAAGACCCCAGCCTTGGTGGGGGGCTATTTATACAGACTGAGTGAGACTCGGTAGTGTCCCATCAACGTGAAAGTTCCTGAATTTGACAAATTCACTGTGCGTTACAGAAGAGAATGCCCTGTTCTTACCAAACACACAATGAAGTATTCGGGGGAAAAAAAGTGTATCAGCCAAGTGTATCAGCTAAGGCTTATGCAGAAGTCTTTGGAGCCAGAGAGAACAACAGGCAGGGGCCCACTTGGGGCCTTCTCCCTTGTGGGGTGTTTTCTTTTTCTTCCTTTCTTTCCTTTTTTTTTTTTAAAGATAAACTTAAAAAAAAAAAGTGTGTGTATGTATGTGCCTGCATGTATAAAAAGATAGAGCAAGTGTGGCAAAATGTCACAGCCATTGTATGTGAGTTCTCTATACTATTCTTGTAACTCGCAAGTCTGAAATGATTAGAGAACAACCACCACCACCAAACCTGAGCTGATAAAATTTCAGCTGGAAACAAACCCCAGAGCAGGAAGGGGTGGGTGATAAGGGCTGATCTGGGTCAGGCTGTCTGTGCCACTGGACGGAGCTCAGAGTTCCCTGGCTTGGGAAGAGGTGTGGAAGCCAGGCAGGGTGCTGTGACTTCCTTTGGTCCTAAACTCTCCCAGCTGGGGAGGCTGCAGGAGCCCAGCGGGGCCTGAGCTGCTTGGAGGGCAAACACGGAGACCATCTGTCCTGGGGAGTCCTCAGTGCTTAGCCTGGCGTGCATGTGCGTGAGCACTCAGCATGTGGTGACTAGGGCACAACTTCCTTGTCTCTCTCCCCAATCTTCCTGCTGGCACATCAGATGCACAAAGGTATTCAAGGACACCAGAGGAAGCTTTCCAAACTTCAATTCCAATGTTCATCAGACGATTAAAATGGAAAAAAAAAAGTTTCTGAGAGATTTCAGAACATTATTTGGGAAAGAGCTCTGGATATGTCCCTCCCCACCCCACCCCCCAACCCACCCCAACAACTGGCTTCTCTGCTTCCTAGGACGACTACAGGCTGAGCCAAGTCCACTAGGTTTAAATTGCTCATTCCTAAGGGGAAGAAATGGGTGGGGCTTCAAAGATGGAGGGGACACCTACATCAAAATACAGCCTCCTCCTCCCTGTCTATGGGGAAAGGAGCCCCAGTGGGCAAGAATCTGAACAAAAGAAGGGCTTTATGCATTTCTCATGCCTCAGCTCTGCCTGAAGTCCAATGGGTCTGCGGCCCATGGTGACACAGGGAGCGGCTGCCTATAGGAAAACCATGCCTTGGAGCAGAACACTTAGGCCCAAGCCCAAGCCAAGGCCAAGGCCAGAGTCAGCACAGCTGGGTGTCATTGTGAAAGTCCTTAGCATTAAATGTGCTGGAGACACAGCCACATGGATGCCCTGTTTTTATCATTTCTCTCTGCCAGGACCCTCTCAGTACCTAAGAGCAATTTTCCCACTATTTTTACTTATTTATTTATTTATTAAATCACAGCAGTGCACATTAATACTATCATAGGGTGCAGTGTACTGTTTCTGTATACAATTTGAAATACTTTCACCCAACTGGTTAACATAGCCTTCATGTCTTTTTCTTAGTTATTGTATTAAGACATTTAATCTACATTTAGAGAGATTCGCATTACCCTTATAGGATGAACCATAGGCGTGATCCCACCAATCACCCTCCCCTCTCCCCTCTCCCCATATTCCTGGGCTAAAATTGGGTTATCGCTTTCCTATGAAAGCTATAAATTAGTTTCAAAGTAGGCTGAGTACACTGGATACACTACTTTGATTTTTATTGCCCAAGTCTCCCCTCCTCATACCATCTTTTTAAAAAAAATTCTCCTGGCAGTGCCCATAGCTTAGTGGTTATGGTGCCAGTCACATGCATCGAGGCTGGCCCTTCCAAACCTGGCCTGGGCCTGCTAAACAACAATGACAACTGCAACAAAAAAAATAGCCAGGCATTGTGGTGGGCACCTGTAGTCCCAGCTACTTGGGAGGCTGAGGCAAGAGAAACGCTTAAGGCCAAGAGTTGAAGGTTGCTATGAGAACTTCAGCCCAAGAGTTCGAGTTTGCTGTGAACTGTGACACCTCGGCACTCTACTAAGGGCGACATAATGAGACTGTGTCTCAAAAAAAAAAAAAAAAAAGTCTTCCAGGCTGGGAGGATCACTGGAAGACAGGCATTTGAAACCTCTGTTAGCAAGTGAGAGAACCTACCTCTACAAAAAAATGGAAAAGTTAGCTGGGTGTGGTGGTGCACACCTGTCATTCCAGCTACTTGACAGGCTTGAGCCCAGGAATTTGGGGTTGCTGTGAGCTATGGTGACACCACTGTACTCTAGTGCAGACACCAGAGAGAGACCCAGCTAAAAAAAAAATCTCCTAGTGATTCAAGGACTTTTAATTCAAGTAACTGCAAAAATGAAATAAAGGAAAATCAACCCTTCTCTACTTCCACTGGTGCTTCCCTCTCCAGCCAGTGTTTGTCTCCTGTCTTCTCTGTCCCTTGTCTAAGTCCTGCTGTCCTGGGCAGTGCACCATTTTGATCCCCAGTGCCTTTAAGGGCGCAGGTGCGCCTGTCTGGAGCCTGGAATCCTGAGTAAATTCAGTGGAGGTGGGAGATGGCGGGTGTCAGGGAGGGAGGAAAGGTGAGAAGCCCCACATGCTGATCTCGAAGCTGGGTGGGCAAAATCCCCCCAGTCTCTCCCTCCTCACAACCTGCACTTTGGCATCTTGGGCACCAAAACACAGCTGGCTCTGACTCGAGGCCATCATCTCGGTGTCTGATGGCAGCACACACCTTCAGGCAGAGCGGCAGACCTGACCCCTGCCCGGCCACCAGCCCCCAGCACACCCTAAACCCAGGAGAATGCCCCACAGCTGCTCCCAGCCACTCACCAGCTTCTGGAAGAGGTCGCCCACCCGCTGCTGGTGGCTCCACTGCTGCACTCGCGGGAAGAGCCCATCGTAGAACTCCTTGTGGATCTCATAGAGCTCAGGCACTTTGAAGAAGATGGTCTCGATCTGCTGACTGGTCAGCACTGGCTGAGAGGTGGTGGCAGCAGCTTTCAAAGGCTTCATGGGCTGGAAGAAGACACAGATCAGAGGGCCTGTCATTCATTGGTGCACTGCACAACCATCAAAAATTTGGGGGTTATGTGACACACATAATCCCCCCCTCCTTTTTTTTTTTTTTTGGCAGTTTTTGGTTGGGGCTGGGTTTGAACCTGCCACCTCTGGCATATGGGGTCGGTGCCCTACTCCTTTGAGCCACAGGCACCGTCCTTGTTTTTTTTCTTTTTTAGACAAAGTCTCTCTCTGTCACCCTGGGTAGAGTGCTGTGAAGTCATAGCTCACAGCAACCTCAAACTCTTGGACACAAGCAATCCTCCTATCTTAAGTCTCCTGGGACTAAAGGCACCGGCGGCAACGCTCAGCTAGTTTTTCTATTTTTAATAGAGATGGGTGGCTCAGCGCCCGTGGCTCAATGGCTAAGGTGCCTGCCACATACACCTAAGGTGGCGGGTTCGAATCCAGCCCAGGCCCACCAAACAACAATGACTGCAACCAAAAATAGCCAGGTGTTATGGTGGGTGCCTGTGGTCCCAGCTACTTGGAAGGCTGAGGCAGGAGACTTGCTTGAGCCCAGCAGTTGGAGGTTGCTGTGAGCTGTGATGCCACAGCACTCTATCCAGGAGGACAGCTTGAGGCTCTGTCTCAAAAAAAAAAAAAAAAAAAAAAAAGAGAGATGGGAATCTCACTCTTGCTCAGGCTGGTCTCAAACTCCTGAGCTCAATGGAGCCGCCCCCCTTGGCCTCCTAGAGTGTAGGATTATAGGCCACCATGCCTGGTCATCCTTTTATTTTTCAATCCCATAAAAAAAATAAAATTTGAGGGCAGCGCCTGTGGCTCAAAGGAGTAGGGCGTCAGCCCCATATACCAGAGGTGGCGGGTTCAAACCTGGCCCTGGCCAAAAACTGCAAAAAAAAAAAAAAAAAATTGAAAACCAGTTTGGTGTGGTAACTGAGTTTACCATCAGTATCCACCCCAGGGAGGGTGAGCTGCCCCCAGGCCCCAACGGCTCCCCTCAGACTGGTGAGTGAGAGTCCCCCATCCCCTGGAACTTTACCCTCAACCCCTGCTTAGCCCCCTCCACATCTTCCTCACCAACAGCAGCGCCTCCAGGTGGCTCAGGTAAGTCTCCTCGCTAGCCAAGATTCCAGACAGGACCCATTTTCTCATCTCCAAGCCCTTTTCTAAGTCCAGTTCACTCTGCCGGAGAAACAATAGAAGTCAGACTGGGGTGGAGGGATGGAGCAGGGGTCCTCACACTTTTTAAACAGGGAGCCAGTTCACTGTCCTTCAGACCACTGGAGGGCCAGACTGAGGGCCCTGGGACGAGTCGGCTGCTAAGCAGGACAGGCAGGCAAAAACACCCAGCAGGCCAGATAAATGTCCTAGGTGGGCCGTAGTTTGAGGACGCCTGGGACAGAGAGGTAGAGAGGTGGAGAGGGACGCTCATGTCGGCCCCTCTCAGAGAGGAAGGCCTGCCTGTCCACTTCTGGACAAGTCCCTCCAGAAGGCTCCACATGGAATTAAAAGGTAGACAGGGGAAGGGATGGTCTTGGCACACACTCAGCCACTTGCTCACGGTCCCTTACAAATTCTTGGGTGGGGCACATTCTAAAGCCAAGGGCCACCCCTGGTCTCAACATACTGGGAGATGGGAAGTCCGGTGCTGAGCCGGCTGGGCAAGCCTCTCCCACACCTCCTGCCTGTGATGGAGGAGCAGCTACCCCGGCCCAGTCAAGTAAGAAAAACAAGACTCTGACCTGACCCAAAGGGACACTGGAGCCCAGCTCATGGCCACCCTGGCTCCCCTCCAGACTGCTCACCTGGCGTCCTCCTTGCCCACAGTCTCTGCCGTTGCTTCCACCTGACCCTTGGACTGCTGGGGCCTGGGCAGCACCGCCCTTCCACACCCTTTCCCACGGACTACCACCTGTCCAAGGGCAACCCTGGGCTTGGTGCTCATAGCCTTTGCCCCCTGACCCTGTGCTCTAGACTCCTGACTGTGTTACAGGTGGGCTATAACCAAGTCCCCTCTCCAATTGACATCCTGGCTGAAAGCCTGGTGAGGCTCCATTGCCTCTGCCTCCAGAAGACAGAGCTGAGACACTGCTGGGTGTGACCAGGGACAGAGTGCCCATCCCTTGGGAGACCTCACTCTAATCCTACTTATGATGATACTGTGGGTGGAGTTATGTCTCCCAAATCTGTAAGTTGAAGCCCTAACCCCAGTGCCTCAGAAAATGGCCGTATTTGGAAACCCAGGCTTTAAAGAGGTGATGAAGTTAGAATGAAGTCACAAGGGAAACCTCAGGACAGACGCATAGAAGACAGCCCCAGAGATAATCCTGCTGGCACCCTGATCTTGGACTTGGGCCTCCAGGACAGTGAGAAAATAAATTTCCCCAATGTGTGGTGCTTTGCCACAGCAGCAAACCAATACACATGATGACGCCAAAGGCAGTATGAACTCCCGCCATGCCACTCCTTCCGCCCCAGCCACCAGCAGAGCCAGGGATTGGCCCTGTTCCCAGCACGCCCTCTGGGCTCCTCCTGCTTGCCCTGTGGTCAGAGGGCAGTGCCAGTGTGGGAAGCAGCTCTGCATCCACCAAAGATGATGTGACAGTCCTGTCCCTGGGGCTGGGCAACAGGTGTGGAGCTAGAGCTGTGGCCCCTGCCACCACTTACTTTCCCCAACCTCTCAAGGAAAATCACTGACTGGGGAAGGCTCCATGTCCTGTCCTGTGCCTTGTAGAATGCTGACCTCTACCTACCATATGTGAGTAATGCTCTCTTCCCCAGAAGTGACCCCACATCCTCCAGGGGCCAAATCACACATGTGAAAACTGCTGGGTGGAAGGAAGGATCTGACCCAGGCAGGCCCTTTGGTGTCTCTACAGAGTTTGGAATCAGGACCCCAGCACAGCCGCTCTGTCTCTGTAACCACTTCCCAGGCCCATGTCATGGTACAAATGGCAGGTTCCACAGAGGACCCAGGGTTTGCCCTTGGTCTCTGGCAAATGCCCTCTGGCTTTGAGCCTCAGTTGCTTGTGTATAAACTGGGGAGGGGAGCTCAATCCCTCTGCCCTCCTCCTGGGGCTTATATCACACCCTCACCTGCCCACTGGGACCACCTAGAAAGCCTTTCTGGGCCACTACTCACTGCACTAAGAATCTTCTAAGCGTGTGCAGGCCCCTGAGTGTGTGTGTGAGCTATGAGTATGCGTGTGTGCACAAGTGCGCGTGCAGGGACAGCCAAGACCTGTGCTGAGGGCCTGGCACAGTGGCTCACGCCTGTAATCCTAACACTCTGGGAGGCAGAGGCAGGCAGATTGCTTGAGATTACAAGTTCAAGACCTGCTTGAGCAAGAGAACTTTCTCTAAAAAATAGCCAGGCATGGTGGTAGCGGGCGCCTGTAGTCCCAGCAGGAGGATCACGATCACTTAAGCCCAGGAGTTTAGAGGTTGCTGTGAGCTATGATATCATGGGATGCTCTCCAGGGTGATAAAATTAGACTGTGTCTCCAAAAATAAAAAAAGAAAGAGAACTAAAAGACCTGGGCTGAGACAGAGCGGGTCCAGGAAAGGACACCCAGGTCCCACACACATACTTTTCCTCAGGGCATGGCTGTACCTGGACTGGAAACTTCCTGTGCCCAGCACAGTGCCTGGAACACCTCAGTACACAACAAAATTCATTTAATAAATGAATCAATGGGCTCGGCGCCTGTGGTTCAAGCGGCTAAGGCGCGAGCCACATACACCTTAGGTGGCGGGTTCAAATCCCCAGCCCGGGCCCGCCAAACAACGATGGCTGCAACCAAAAAAAAAAAAAATGGCCGGGCGTTGTGGCGGGCGCCTGTAGTCCCAGCTACTTGGGAGGCTGAGGCAGGAGACTCGCTTGAGCCCAGGAGTTGGAGGTTGCTGTGAGCGTGATGCCATGGCACTCTACCCAGGGGGATAGCTTGAGGCTCCGTCTCAAAAAAATAAATAAATAAATAAAAAATAAACGAATCAATGAGTGGATCTGAAAGACCTGGTGCCAGACTCAGTTACATCTTCACGAAGCTCTGAGGACTCCTTTAGCATCTCTGCACCTGTGCCCAGAAATGAGCGGGCTCTGGGAACCTGCAACTGTCAGCTGAGCCTGCCTTGGGCCCTGAAGTGCTGCTAAAGCACTCTGCCCATGGTGCACAGACTTGGTGGGGGCCTGTGACACCCCCTCCGTCTAGGGTGGATGTGGCCCTCGCCTGCCCTTACAGGTGCCTGGACACTGCTCCCCCTTCCACACCAGGAAAGGTGAAGGGAACAGCAGGTCTCTAACCGCAACAGCCATGAGCATCCTGCTCATGTTTGGGGAACAATCTTGCTGCTGTGAGCTCCAGAGAGCCAGTGGTGGCCCCACCCAGCATAAGAGGCTGGTGCCTGCGGGTGGAAGGCTGGGTCTTGTCTCACCCACACGGTTTGGACAGCCAGGAGGAAAAATCGCGCAGACAGGACAGCGCCCAGTCCCTCTCCTAGTCCTGAAGGGTGGGGCCGTCAGGGGAACATCTGGCCCAGGGAATGGGCTGGGTAGGGAGAAGACAGGAAGAGGGCGTGTCTCTTCCCCCCCAGACTAAGAACCTTCTGGGGTGCTGAATGGTGCTGGTGGCATTAGACGGAGATGACCTGGAAACCAGTCAACCTCGCATTGGAGGGTGAGGAGGGAAAGAGCGGAGAGCAAGAGAGAGCAAAGGTCCCTAGCAGGGATCAGGGCTATTTATAACAACTCGAGCCGTGGGGCCACACGTGCTGGTTCTGTGAAAGGCCAAGCTATGCAGGCAGGGCGCTCAGGCAGGAGGAAGCCAGAGGCGAAGGGCAACTGGAAAAAGCAGGTGGTGATGAGGAAGGAAAATCCTCCTCCTACTACCTGGGAGGGGCAAACACCGCAGAACTGGAGCCTAAAAAAAACAACAAAGACCCCACAAAGCAGGCAGGGCTCACAACAACCAGGCAGTAAAAGCTCACAGGGGGACTCAGGTGAACAAGCCCGGTGCCAGGCCTCTGTCAGGCCAGCAGCTAAGCCATAGTCCCCCTGATCTGGAGCAGCCCATGCACAATTGGGGTGCAATGCCCTGGGCTGCAAGGTGCTCCTGGCTGCGGCTGTGTGGCCAGCACAGCTGCTTGAGAGAAGACCCTCTCTCTTTAGGGCTGGACAAGGACAGTGTCTTCACCATACAGAGCAAGGCCCCTCATGTACACAGAGGGCAGGGGCCAGGCTCTAGGCAGGGTCACATGCTAGGGGGCTGCTGCAGCAAACCCTCGGCGGACCAGTTCTCCAGATGGGAAGATCCTCGCGTGCAGGGCAGACAGCACCATTCCTGTGCCTGCCCTCGTTAGCACACACTGTCCCAGTGAGCCACCATGTGTAAATCCTTCCTGCAGCCCCCCAGGCAACGGGGTGCCTAGACCCTGTCCAAGCTTACCTCCCTCCCCTTTCTGTGTCCACAGAGAAGACCCGTACCCAGAGTGCACCAAGCCCCTGAGAGGCCCAACCCCCAAAGCCTCAAGCCTGCTGGCAAGGACCAAATGAGAGGTTGGGGTTGAGCCTACCCAGGAGATCGGAGGACAGGATGAGCAGGCTGACACCCATTCCTGCCCCCGCTACACCAGAGATCAAAACTGAAAGAAGACACGTGCTCGGCTTGCTGCAAGGCCAGCAGGGAACCCACAAAGCCAAGGCTGTGTGGCTTCCAGGGAGCAAGGGGCTCCTACCCCATGCTCCAAGGCCTGAAGAGAAAAGCCCAACCAGAGGGCTCTGGAACATTCAGAACCTCTCAGCCCTCCTCAGTCAGCCCCCACCCTCCATCAGGCCCTGCTCTGGGCCCCTGGAGTGCTTGGGGTTAGAGACTCCAGACCTGACAGACTTGGATCTACAACTCCTGCCCAGTGTGTCCAGTGAGAAATTTCTACCGGCTGCTGTGGCGGCCAAAGGAGGATGCAGGGGTCAGGGACTAGGATCTGAACAGCTCCACAGGCTAGGAGCTGGGTCCTGAGAGGTGTGGGGTGACCTCTCAAGTCAGAGCCCAGGGGGTTGGGAGGCCCCTGCCCCCTGGATAGGGCCTGGGGCACAGCATGGCACATCAGACTCCCCTTAGGTACATCATGGGCTGGTCAGGTGAAGACAGCTCTGCGGGGTGATGGATGGATAGGGATGACCCAGCCTGAGCTCAGGACTCAGCATCCTGCCTACTTGTTCAGGACCGTGGGGATCCTTCTCTGTACCAAACCACACTCATAAAGCTGCAGCAGAGGGGATGTGCCAGGACGGCCGGGCAGCTGAGGGGAAGCCTATCAATCAAGGAATCAGGATGGCTTTGAACCTCGTGGCTGTGTGGCCCTGAGTAAGTTACTGAGCCTCTCTGAACTTCGGTTTCCTAATCTGTAAGATGGTGACACTGGACACAGGGTGAGAAGCTGTGCAGGGCTACAGCACACGTGAGCCGCGTGGAGCAGCTACATGTCCCACACTGGTCCCCACCCCATCCCCATGTCTCAGAAAGAGGAGCTGGCTCTGCACAAAAGCAAAGATAGGCAGCAGGGGAGAGACGCTCTTCCCAGGGAGCAGCACAGGTCTCTCTCACTTCTGTTTTTAAACTAGGGACCAAGTCATGCAGAGATGGGACAGTATTTGTCATCAGGGACCAAAAAGACAGAAGGGAGAACCACCCTGGACAGGTGATCTTCTTAGCCTAAGAAGGAAGGAACCAGGAGGTCAAAGGGGGGGGAGGGGGCCCTTGCCCTTGTGGTGGGGGTTCATGTCTGATCCCCAAAGCACTGCTGAGAGGAGTGAGGACTACGCCAGGCTTGGTTACCTCAGAGGGACAGCATGCCCAGCTTGCTGCCACCTTGGGGCTATGTTCCCACATGATGGGGGGTGGCTGGTCTACAGGCCTTGGAGTACAGAGCACAGCACCTACTGAACGTGCCACTACTCTAGCCATGTGCCCTCAGGACGCCAGCAAGGACCTTACTCCCCCACGAGTACAGTGGAGGGGACAGCAATGCTAGTACCACAGGGGTGCTAATGAGGATCAAGGGGGAACTTCCAGGAAGGGCCCTGCTCACATGGATGGAGCCATCGTCAGTGCCCTCTCTGGTAAAAGGGAGCAAGCCTCCTTCGCAGAGACAGGACCCCACCCCAGCTCAGGCACTTACGGGAGCCACCATGCAAACCGGACTGGTTTGGGTGATGGCCTCAGCCTCAAGACCATGCTGTGTCCACCTCCTCCGTGCTCAGTTCACATAGCCTTCCATGATCTCCCTGCTCGACATATCCAAAAGATCACTGTGGAGCCAGATACAGGGATGAAGGAGTCTCCAGTGACTGCCTGACTTGCCAGTAATCGGCTGCTCCATTTTGGACCTGCTCTGTGAACCCTGAGCAAGTGTCTGGGCTTCAGGGGCCTCACCTGGCCCACCAGCCCCGGGCGGGGAGGCACCATGGGGACTCACCGCTTTGGTGGACTCAGGGGCTCCCAAGGCCAGCGCATCCCGGCTGCCCCTGCCCTTGCTGCTGAGGTGGGGCGAGGAGGAGGGTGAGTCGTCGATGTAGGGCAGCCTGTCCTGCCGGCGCTGCTCCTCGGCCCGGTCCGTGGCACAGCTGTACCCAGGCGACGTGCCGAACGAGGTATCTGTGTGTGCGAAGAAGCAACCAGGGTTAGAGACAGAGAAGGTGGCCAGGAGACTGTCTCCCCAGGAGCATCCATCCTCTGCCTGTCCTAGCAAGCACCCAGGCTGACACCTGTGTCTGTCACCCACAGACGTCTCCAAGGATCCTGGGTATGATGACATCACCTTTACAACAGACTACCAGAGACCACAGAGTGAGGAGGTGTGAATATCATCTCATCCTCTGGACACTAAAAGGCTATGCTTTGAAATGCTGTCTGGGGCACACTGCCCTTGGTGGGGGGCAGAGGTGACATGTATTTGAAATATGTATTTGGGTTCAGCGCCCTTGGCAGAGTGGTTATAGCACCGGCCACGTGCACCGAGGCTGGCAGGTTCAAACCCAGCCTGGGCCTGCTAAACAATAATGCAACTGCAACAAAAAAAATAGCTGGGCATGGTGGGCGCCTCTAGTCCCAGCTACTTGGGAGGCTGAGGCAAGAGAATTGCTTAAGCCCAAGAGTTGGAAGTTGCTGTGAGCTGTGACACCACAGCACTCTACCCAGGGTGACACAGTGAGACTCTGCCTCAAAAAAAAGAAATATATATTTGTTCTCTGGACCCTGTTCTTTCACTTTCCCGGCATGAGGCTCCTAAAACTTTTAGAACCTCCAAAATAATAAAAGTATTTCTGTATGCCCATGAGATGACAGGTGGCTGTGGGCTCCTAAGCAGCCTTAGAAAGGGCTTGGTTCCCAAGGGGACTAACCACATCATTAGATGACTGGAACTTCTGGCCCTATGCCTAACCTCAATCTCAACCTCTTAAGGCTGAGCTGATCGCCAGCAGCCAATGATATGAGCAATCATGCCCACATTTTGAGACCTCTATAAAACCCCCCAAAGGACAATGCTGGGCGAGCAGGGAGAGGCTGACTGCACAGTGGCCAGCCCCGGGAGGACAGGGCAGCACACAGGCATCTCTGCTGATGGCTCCTGAGATGCACCCTTTGATAAGCTGTTTTCCTGAGTTCTGTGAACCATTCTAGCAAATGGTCAAACTCAAGCAGGGGCTCATGGGAACCACAGTTTATAGTTTGTAAATACCAGCTGAAGTTAGGGGCAGTCTTATGGGACTGAAATTTTGGGGCATCTGAAGTTAAGGGCAGTCTTATGGGACTGAAGTGTTAGGCATCTTGTAGGACTGAGCCCTTAACTTATGGATCTGATATAGGTAGAGTCAGAACTAAGTTGAAATTGTAGGACACTCAGCTGATGTGTGCAATCAGAAGATTGCTTGGTATGAGAAAAACCCTCCTCACTGGGTTATTTAAGGGTTTAGCATGAATAGAGAAAAACACAGTTGTTTTCTTCCCCACACAGGTGGCCTAGGCGATTGCAGAAAGGTGGACCCCAAATGATAGCATTTTGCTGTCAGGGACAATTCTTGCACGCCTGCCACTGTGAGCAGCAAGTCTCACCATGGTCTGCCAGTCCCAGCCCAAGGATCTGGGCTACAGCCCTCCCCACGCGCAGCCCACCCTCTGGCTGACTCACAAAATCCCAGGCCACCCTTACCCCAATCTGAGTACACCACGAGGACAGGGTGGCTTTTGCTACAATAGGCTCCCTGCCTTTGGGACTGTGTAGTCACAGAGTAACATGTCCCTCCCTCAGGCACCTCAACAGAGTCACTCCCTTCCTACAGGCTGAATGACAAAGCCCAGAGCACAATTCCAAGGCCTCAGCCATCTGGAGCCCCTCCACGGCCCATGCCCAGTTTCAGCTTTCTGAGTGGACTCCTTGCTACAGACGTTGACCAACAAAGACCCAACCCAATGCCCTATCTCTGAGGACCCCTTCTCCTCTCCCTCCAAATAGTGCCTTCCTGGCCCACAGGATTTCCAAGAGGTCACCCTGACTGGGCCACGTCACTCTCACATGACTCACCAGTAAGCAGCCCTGCCCAAAGGTTACCCCAGAGGTTCATGAGTTTATAACTGCCACCAAACATGCCCAGGCCAAGTGAGCAGAGGGCCACCCCCAGGCCTCCAGAGCAATCTCCGAGGGGTACTGTTTGTAGTTCTTTCCACATGGGCAGCCAGGAGGAGCCTTGGAGCTAGAGTGACCTGTGGCTAGCTGTGGGTGTCCAAGATGGCAAAGTCCCAGCTTCCTCTCTGGCTCTGCCTCTCCCAGCTTCTCCACTTCTGTCCAGCAGGACCTAGCGTCTTCTAATAAGTGGCCATGGAGGCTTCCCGGAGGACTCTAGCAGGTAGGCAGGGCTGAGACCTACTGAGCTACTCCACCCTGGTGTCCAGCACCAAGCCTGTTGCAACACTCACCTGTGGTCTGTCCTAGGTCTGAACACAACCGCTGACCACAAAGGCCAATCTGGGTTCTGCCTGTGAGCCCAGGAGGGTCAGCAAGAGCTGGCTCTGGGTTGAGAACAGCAGCTGAAGTGGGGGCACCAGAATAGGGGCTCCTCTTGTGGCCCCAGTAAACTATACAGAGGACCTTGTCTCCTTAATCCCCAGGACATCTAAGGGGCTCCAGGTACCAAGATGGTTTTCATTGCTCAGCCCAGCCAGCCTTAGGGAGAGAGAAGTGGGATGGCTTTTGGGAGAGCTCTTTTTTCTTTTTCTTGAGACAGTCTCACTGTGTCACCCTCAGTAGAGTGCCATAGCATCACAGCTCACAGCAACCTCTAAGTCTTGGGCTTAAGTGATGCTCTTGCCTCAGCCTCCTGAGTAGCTGGGACTACATGCACTCGCTATGACGCCTGGCTATTTTTTGTTGCAGTTGTCATTGTTGTTTAGCTGGCACAGGCCAGGTTAAACCTGTCAACCTTGATGTATGTGGCTAGCACCGTAACCACTATGCTACGGGCGCTGAACCCATGGTGGGATTTCTTAGCACGAAGGCTCTAGTCCTCCCCAACTGCCACCTCTCTGTGTGAGTCAGCTCAGGTCACTGAAGCTATCCATGCCTCAGCCTTCCTGACTAGAGGATCAATAAAGACCCACTAGCTCTAAGATCCCACTGTTACCATTTGAGGAAGGCCCCACCCATCCCACCTTTACCTCCTAACCCCACCCCCAACAACTTCCTCAGCTGAGGTCCCTCCCCACGGCTCCCCTGGACCAGGCCTTTACATTAGCTCAGAATTGTCCATGGGCACAAAAGTCTCTAAGAACCTTTCAATGGTCTTGCTTCTTTTCTAATGACAACCTTTTTTTTTTTTTTTGGAGACAGAGTCTCACTTTGCCACCTTCAGTAGAGTACCATAGCATCACAGCTCACAACAACCTCAAACTCTTCGGCTCAAGTGATTCTCTTGCCTCAGCCTCCCGAGCAGCTGGGACTATAGGCGCCTGCCACAATGCCCAGCTATTTTTAGAGACGGGGTCTCACTCAGGAGCAGGCTGATCTTGAACCTATGAGCTCAGGCAATCCACCCGCCTCAGCCTCCCAAGTGCTGCAATTACAGGCGTGAGCCACTGAGCCCAGCTTCTTAATGACAATCTTTTAAGCACAGGGGAGGACCTCTTACCCAGTGCCTCCACTTGAGCTCCACAACGAGACTATACTGACTCACGCCCAAGGTCAAATCCACACCGACTAGCTAACCAACCCAGTAAGAACTTCAGGCAGAGATTTGGGGTCCCCTAGCTCACTCCAGAGGAACCCTAACACTCCATGTTTGAGAAACAAAGCACTGGCTTAGCAATGCCTGGGCTGGGACCACTGCAAGATTTAAGGGCCCAGCGAGGTTTTCTCTGCCAGGGCTGAGTGGGATCATCAGCTTTGTGCGGACACTCAGACTCTGCTGAGTAATTATGAGGCTCCTGGACTTAACTAAGACCCCAGCTGTTTCCCTATTCTGCACAGAACTCCAACTGAGGTCTGTGTGGCTGAAGATTATAAACCCAGACAACCTGGATACCCCTGATATATTCCACCTGCAGGTTTCAGCACTGTCCCAGCCACCTTGCTGCCCCCCTATCTTGCTGGCTCCTTAAGCCTGCTCCTGTCCTAACCAGCACCTAGTGACTTGTCTTCTCACAAAGCAGTTTTCTTTTTCTTTTTTTTTTGTAAGATAGGTCTTATTTTGTTGCCCTCGGTAGAGTGCTGCAGCGTCATAGCTCGCAGCAACCTCAAACTATTGGGCTCAAGCAATACTCCTGCCTCAGCTTCCCAAGTATCTGGACTACAGGTGCCCGCCACAGCACCCCGCTGATTTTAGAGGCAGGGTCTCGCTCTGGTTCAGGCTGGTCTTGAACCTGTGAGCTCAGGCAATCTACCCACCTCAACTTCCCACCACCTGTCATTCCATACTCTGCTTCCACAGGTATTTGTGATTTAGCTCCCAATTGTAAGTGGTACTTTACTTGGGGATCCTGAAAGCCACCATCTCCCAAGAACCAGTGCCCACACAGTCCTGTCCTTCATGCAAAGCTCTGCCCAAAGCAGAAACTGAACACTAACAAGTAGAAGCCGGGGACCCAGAATGACACTGTTGCTCAGCTGAACCCCTGACCAGACTCGGAGTTGGAGGTGGGGGCAAGGCCAATTCTGGCTCCACAGCCACCGCCTTAGTGCAGAAGGGGATGAGCGCGGAGAAACGGGAAACCTTTTCCTCTCCTGGCAGTGTGCTTAGCAGTCCAACCTCAGAGCTCTGTAAAGCTACTCTTTGATCAAAGAAAAAAGGGCAGTCAAAAAGAAAAAAAAAAAAGCAAAAAGAATAACTCCCAGGTGGAAGCCAGTTAGCCCCCACACCCATGCCGGTACCCAGGTCACATCCCCTTCCTGAGCAAGAACCACACTGATTTTTTTTTTTTTTTGAGACAGAGCCTCAAGCTGTCCCCCTGGGCAGAGTGCCGTGGCATTACAGCTCACAGCACCCTCCAACTCCTGGGCTCAAGTGAGTCTCTTGCCTCTGCCTCCCAAGTAGCTGGGACCACAGGCGCCCGCCACAACGCCCAGCTACATGCACTCGCTATGACGCCTGGCTATTTTTTTGGTT